ATAATTTTGAATGCGACTGTTATTGTGTGAGTGTCAGTTTTGAGAAGGTTTGAGAAGATATGTTTGGAGCGTGTTTGGAGGATGAATCACAAAGGAAAAAGGATTTAAAGGGATTTGGAAGACTTGATGAAAGTAGAGTTTAATGAAGAAAAGGAAAAGTGTAAACGGAAATATACTTTTCCTTATGGAAATTGGAAAGTTTCTCCTATGGTGATTAGGAAATCGTTTTGGCTATATAAGGAGGTGCTAAGGACGTCTTGGAGAAGCAAGAGAGCTGAAGCATAAAGAAGAAATCTTTGAGAGCTTTATGTGAGATGGTGTGCAACTTAGTTTTGATGTTTTGTCCTTGTGTGATCAAGTGATTTTGTTTTGAAGTCTAGGCTCAAGGGGAGTTTAGCTCAGGGTTAGGTTATTCGATGGTTCAAAGGCAAAAATTACCCACTTGCGGTGATGGTATCCAATCAGTGTTGGTCTCCTTTACACAGATAATAGCTCGGATACGGAGCTCTCTCAAGACGTCGTTATCGGTGGGGGGGGGGGGGAGGGGGTTCTAGACTTGTGTGTTAGTTAGTACAGGAAAATAATTTTATTAATAATTAATATTTAGTCACATAATAAAAAAATATTTTGTCACAATATAAACATTGGTACAAATTTATGACGATTTGTGAATGGTTGCAACACAAGCGCCACAAATATTTAATTGCAACAAAAAAATCATAAGAGTTGAGACAAATATATCTAGTAACTATTTCATCACAAATAGTTACGACACAAAAACGTAAAAACACTTTCTTAATTACAGACGAAAACATCGTTCCAAAATCGTCATAATTTGTGACTAACATAACGTCTTAATTCTATAACTCATTATTACATAACTATAGTCTCGAATGGTAACAAGTGATAACAAAAAATATATCGCATATTCGTAACAGTTACTGTGGTGATTTATGACTATCATAATGTTCAAGTCCATCACTCACTATGATGGAAATTAGTCACAAACAGTCACAAATTATTACTAAAAAAAATCTTCTCATATTGTCAAAAATATAAACTAAAAACAAAACCTCAAAACACGGTTATATATTTATTTCCTATTACTTAATGGGAATGTTAATATATCTATATTCATGTTTTATTTTATTAATTTCAATATAAGTTAAAACTATTACTTATGAGATTATGAGATATAAAAGATTTATAGTTATGAAAATGTTAATTTCCAAAAATTTTGTGTATTTTATTTCTTTACTAATAATGTTTTGTTATTTATTTTTAATACTAACTAAGGTATAGATTTGAAATGATGCAAAAAGTATTTTTGATATAAATTTATTAGCTCTTATACGTTAAGATGTAGTGCATATGTATGGCTTATTATGATGAAATAGATAGTTACAAAATAGAATATCTAATGTGTGGTTTATCATTAATAAAAATTTAGATTTATTTTTTAAACCAATACACGAATCTTTATCTAGTTAAAAAAAAAAGACTTACCAATTTCAACCAATCAACATAACAAACATGAGTCAGGATTTTAACAATAGTAATTCGAAAATATCAATTTAATTAATATTAATAATTTATAATGTGAAGATGTAGTTGTTGTCTGATGAAGTTGTTGAATGAGTCAAGAAGTAATACAAGATTTTGTCTAATGGAGTTGCTGAATGATTCAAGAAGTAATTTTGAATGCGACTGTTTTTGTGTGAGTGTCAGTTTTGAAAAGGTTTGAGAAGATATGTTTGGAGCGTGTTTGGAGGATGAATCACAAAGGAAAAAGGATTTAAAGGGATTTGGAAGACTTGATGAAAGTAGAGTTTAATGAAGAAAAGGAAAAGTGTAAACGGAAATATACTTTTCCTTATGGAAATTGGAAAGTTTCTCCTATGGTGATTAGGAAATCGTTTTGGCTATATAAGGAGGTGCTAAGGACGTCTTGGAGAAGCAAGAGAGCTGAAGCATAAAGAAGAAATCTTTGAGAGCTTTATGTGAGATGGTGTGCAACTTAGTTTTGATGTTTTGTCCTTGTGTGATCAAGTGGTTTTGTTTTGAAGTCTAGGCTCAGGGGAGTTTAGCTCAGGGTTAGGTTATTCGATGGTTCAAAGGCAAAAATTACCCACTTGCGGTGATGGTATCCAATCAGTGTTGGTCTCCTTTACACAGATAATAGCTCGGATACGGAGCTCTCTCAAGACGTCGTTATCGGTGGGGGGGGGGGGGAGGGGGTTCTAGACTTGTGTGTTAGTTAGTACAGGAAAATAAGTTTTATTGATCATTAATATTTCGTCCCCTTGATTAAAAAATATTTTGTCCCAATATTAACATTGGTACAAATTTATGACGATTTGTGACATGGTTGCCACTCTAGCGCCACAAATATTTAATTTGCCACTAAAAAATCATTAGAGTTGAGACAAATATATCTTCTTACTATTTCATCAC